TAAGGCTATCGTGTGCAATATACCACATGACGAATGCAAGGAGGAGCTGATAAATAACGTAAAGCATAGATAAAAAAAATAAAATTATATATATATATATATATATATATATATATATATATATATATATATATATATATATATATATATATATATATATATATATAGTCTGTTTGATAGCACAGAAAGAGAAGAGCATGAACAGACATTGACCAAAATAAACATGCAGCAAGTCTAACAGACTACAGGTTATAACTACACAGTTTTTAACTTTTCTATTCAAACTTATATTAATCAAACTGACTAAAATATTAAGTTAAACTTTGAAAAACTGGAAAGAAAATTTAGTTGGAGCATGATTAACTTATTTAAATAAGTTAAAGTAACATAAAAAGTAAAGTAATAAAAAGTGGTCATGATTTTTTGTCAAAAAGGTATTTACAGTGCTCTTATTTCAGCACAAGGTTTTTAGGCAAACGTCATTTTGTTGTCTAATGTGATGACAATCAAATATAAATATATAAGTGCTTGTGTGTCCTAAATATTTGTAATATTTTGAGCTTTTAAATCACAATATACAGCTATAAAAATAAAATTACATAAGATTGCTGCTGATTTTGCAACCAAATGTGAGGTTGATGTAGCAGGAAGACTCGCAGTGGGTTCTCAATGTATGGTAAAGCAAGAAAATTGGAATTTATAAACTTATTTCCTTAGGAATTCCTTAGGAATTTATAAACTTTTTTTTATAATTTATAAACTATAAACACTTATAAGTATAAACACATCCCCCCAGCCAAAAGACAGCTTAAGTAAAATGAGCTGAAGCAACACAATTCTTGATATTTTTTTGGAGATAACTCAATTGTTTTATGTTCAATCTACTTAAATTTGTTTCATTAACTTAGTCTATTTGTGTTGGGATAGCCTGAATAAATTGTGTGGAACCCTGCATTTGGGAATTAGAGATTCTCCATTTATCTGGGTTTGCTAGTTATGGGTTTGAGGAAGCTGTTATTATTAGTTTTATTCTGTAAAGGACTGATACAATTTCTTCCAAATTTCAAATAAAAACATTCTCATTTAGAGCATTTTTAATTTTCATACAATAAAAGTTGGTCAAAACAACAAAAGTTTTTATTTGATGAGCTTAATGTGCCCTAAGCTATTGATTTCTTAACTTTTAATAAACTAAACTTTTATAAACTTGTCTAAAACTTACTTCTACTTACATTTTAAAATGATTTATGCTAAAATGGCAATACATTTATAATAAATTGGGAATAAATTTGATCAGAATTGTGTGGAATGAAAAAAAAACTTATGTTTTAGTCAAACTGAGAATGTTTTTCCATGTCTGTACATCACAGAATTTATAAAATACACTTAACAGTCAACGCAAGACAAAGCCATACACATTTTCTTGGATATTTCTTTACAAAATGTCATATTTTGCAAGAATATTTCAGAGATTTGTAACATAATTTGTGGTAAATCATAGAATTAAAGTATATCCACTGCTTCTTTGCTGAATTTAATTATTCATAATGTCAATAAAAATTGATAGCCAAGAAATAAGAGTATGAAAATAAAGACACTCTGTTGGTTCACCTTGATAATTTCTACCTCATTAAAAATGTATACACAAATTAAGGGACGTATACATTCATATTTATGTATATGTGTAATTTTTATCCTTACAAGTCACAAAAAGTGAGTCATTTTCTTCTTTTAACATTAATAACAACACAGATAGTAGCATGTGTATGAGGCTGCCATCAAATATTGACCCAATACAATACAATTGGCACAATATAGACATCTGATGTACTCCTCCATGCAGGTTTCTTAATAATTTTAGCCTGTAAGCAACCCTGTGCTGCATTTACAAACCACTATAAACACAAAACAGCAAAGGATCCCATTCATTTTAAACTTGCACAAATTAAAACATTTGAAAAATAACAACAGCCCAAAGCCTTCCATATTAAAATTCTTAGAATGCGCCTGGATGACATCATCACCTGACATTCTACTACTTGCTTTTGTCGGTTGTAGTTTTGGCATTTCGAGTTGCAGATTGATCGGTTTACTATTACAGTTTATCAGAAAGTTATCAGAAAACATTTTTCATCATGCAGTTTGATCACAGTCCCTGTGTACTACTCAAGTACACCCCCAACATGCCGGAGAACCATCTTCATCTTTCTGATGAGCCGCATGTTGAGGTTGGAGAGATAGGGAGAAAGGAGAAAAAGAGAAGCTTCTGGAAGTGGCCAGTTCTCCATCGCAAAACTGGAAAATACGACCTTGTCCAGGCTGCGAAGAAATACCAGTATGAGGCTGAGGTATATCAGAAAGTTTCTTGTCAGCCCATTGAAACACCTGTTGGGCCTGAAGAGGTTCCAGAAGTGAGAAAGGTAAAGAAAGGCTTCTGGAAGTGGCCAGTCTTCCGTCGCAAAACTGGAAAATACGACCTGGTCCAGGCCACGAAGAACTACCATGAAGCCATGTTAGAGCAAAAAGTTTCTAGTCAGCCCATTGTAACACCCATTGGGCCTGATGAGGTTCCTGAAGCCAGTAAAGAAGAAAAGGACGTCTGGAAGTCTAGTAGAGGTAAAAATCACACTCACAAGTGATTATGATACAAGTATTGTTTAATGGCCAAATCTCTAATCAAGTAATATTTTTATAACTGGTCTTGTTTATACCATTTTAATGTATTAATATCATTGGCCCATTAACAATTCCTGCTTGATGTCAAACTATTTCATAACCTTAATAAAAGGCAAATCCAGTCATAATTTAACGTTAAAACAGCTATCATAGCAATATTTATCAATATGTGGAAATTTCTGTATTCTCGGAAGCTGTGGAAATTAAAAATGTAAAACAGGATATATGTTCGAACCACTGTTAATGTTTACATCCCTCAAAATGCTCTATAGAAATGTGATATATGAAAATATATGCAAATTACAAATATGACATACAAGTTCATTTTTGGATTTTGCATGTAAAATGTGTCATATATGTTAAATGATTGCAAAAAATGGCAGTTTATATTAGTTTTTTCAACCATTTGCATTATAAATCTGTACATATATGCAAAAATAAGTAGTAAAAAATAAGCAAATATGTAATATGTACAAATATATTAGCTATAATAATATATGTATATGTATATTTGTGGCTACACACACACACACACACAGTACATACAGTATATCAAATTGACATATATCAGATTTCTGTGTGGGATGAAATTAAAATAAGTCTAAATATGTGACTTTACATTCATAGACTAATTAAAAAACATGATAATCTGTATTATATAAAGTGCTATTTACACAACGGTGACTTGATTCGTATTACAGCTTCTGCTTCAGAAGACCATGTCCCTGCTGCTGAGCAGCTAGAGGAGGACGACACAGAAAATGGTAAGATAGGAATTGTTATTAGTATTACAAACGTGAATACAAAATATATATATCTAAAATTGTACATCATACTGACTGCAGTTGTTTATTTTTTAACAGACACGATTTTAAGGCATTATGAAATGGGTGACAAGCTGGGCAAAGGTGGATTCGGCTCTGTCTACAAAGCCACACGCCGCAGGGATGGACTTGAGGTGCTTTCACTAACAAAACATTGCTTTATCATTGCTTTATTCAAAACTTCTACCACATGCTAACTGCTAATTCTTTGCTTTATTGATCAGGTTGCTGTGAAATGTACTGTAAAGTCACCGAAGATGAAGGAACTCACAGTGGTGAGTAGTCCAGATACAATTCAATGTCATGATTTGATTTGATTCTAGATTTGATTTTCTTAGGATGGGACAAAATGGGATTGAAGACGTTATATAGTAAATGAAAACATGTCCTTTTAGTAAGTACGTAAGCAAGTAAAGTGAAGTTTTTTTTCCCTCTCCGCTGTCGCCACTGCCTCGCATGGTTCAGGATTGGTAGAGCTACGCATCGATGAATTTGCTCTTCAGTGTTTGAACTCTCAGTAATGATTAAATCACACTGAACTGAGCTAAACTGAACTGAACTTAAACACTAAAACCTGAACCACACTGTTCCAGTTACTAAGACCATTTATGTGAAGCTGCTTTGACACAATCTACATTGTAAAAGCGCTATACAAATAAAGCTGAATTGAATTGAATTGAATAAAGTAAGGCTTTTGTTTTGCTTTGTGCTTTCCATTTAAAATTAGAGGTAACCACTGTAATTGAATAATGATCTAAACAAAGATGACAGCACTCATGAAGAACGAGCAGCTTACATCTAAACTAGACTTTATCATGTAGAAATTAAAACAGAATTGAAAACAAAATGGTTTTGTGAAACTATTGGCCTACTACATAAAATATCTGAAGAAAAAAAAGTAGATAAGCTAAAGACTCCATTTACAACAGTATTTAGATAAATCCACTTGATTAGATTGTTTCAGAGCCTTATATGTATGTTAATGTCCGATTACAATTGAGTTTTTATTAAAAGACCTTCAGGAAACTGTCTAACTGTCATCATTTCTCTCCTTTAGCCTGGTTATGACAAACCCCTCCCTGCAGAAATTGCCCTGACAATTATGGCCAACAATGGTCCCTACGTCCCCGAGATAATCCAACTCCTAGACTGGGAGGACAATGATGCCCACTACATTATAATCATGGAGCGACCCATACCTTGTATGGACTTGCTTCACTTCTTACGCCACAAGGATGGACCTCTTGATGAGAAGACGGGACGCCATATAATGCGGCAGGCCATTCATGCTGCGAGCGTTTGCTTTGATCGCGGTGTCTTCCATCGGGACATAAAGCTTGAAAACCTCCTGGTGAATCCAGACACTTTGGAGGTAAAGCTAATAGACTTCGGCTGTGGTGCGATTGTAAAGGGTTCCGGCTACAAAGTCTTCTGTGGTAAGTGTTATGAACTTTGTTTCCATAAAAACCACACACTGACGATTCTGTTTAAACATATAAACCATTGGATGATATCTTTTTTTTCTAGGCACAAGAAAATATTTCCCTCCGGAGTATGAATTGCATGGCAGGTACCATGCACAGCCAGCGACTGTTTGGTCTCTAGGGATCGTCCTGTTCGCATTGATGTGTGGGGCTTTACCCACTGTCTCCGACCACTCCTTGATCAGGGACTATCTTTGGTCTAGCCCTGGCCTGTCAATAGGTGAGAGCTTCATCAAAGTGTGAAGAGAGCAGGTCTTATAACTATTTTTGACGTACGAGCGTGTGCAACTATTGTAATTTTTTGGTTCGAGACTTCCAATCTTATTCACTTCCATTAATTTTAAGACATTAAAAACTGCTTGCTATGCTGGTTAATGTTGCACACCAACATTGTCTTATTATATCATTCTACTTTTTATGTACAGTCATGAGCCCACTTGTGTGTAGAGCGAGCAGTTTGACCATTTATTATTCCAAGTCATTTCTCCCATAGGCAACTGAATCGGAAGTACTAACGCACTTTGGCATTGTAGATTAAGATCTATAAACTATTAAACTTAAACACCCCATTCTTCTTTCTGCACAGAATGCTGCCAGATGATCTGCGGTTGTCTACAGCCAAACCCAGATGAGAGACTCGCTCTGCAGGAGATGCATCTCCATAACTGGTTTAAGGTATGAAGCCTAAAGCTAAATGGCTTTCATTTTTGTTGATCATCTTAAGCAGAGGTGTCCAAACCAGAGTCTGCAGGCCAAAGTTAGCCTTTGATAACTTGATTTGCCCTTTGATTTGGCCCACCATCCCATCTAAATAGAGAGTGAGAATGACAACAGAAACACAAACTGAAAGTAAAAGATTCGATTAAATGTTATATTAAATATAAATAGTCACTCAATAAATAGAGGAACACATCAGCGATGCACATCAAGGCAAAAAACAGGTGCAGCTTGACTAGTGTAACTCCATTCTGTTATAAATGGGATTGTTTTTACTGAACGAATAAATACTGCATTAGTTAATATAAATCAATGCTCTCTAGTTTTGTTTAAATGTTAAATAACTTAGGAAATAGCCAATGGCAACTTTATGGTAAGGAGTTTGGTATACTTTGGTCCAACACGCTCATTCAAGACTGGTTTTTAGCCCTCAATAAAAAAAGTTTGGACACAGCTGATCTTAAGTCTTAAAGCATTACTTAACCCCCCAAAAAAGAAAATTCTGTTATTAATTACTCACCCTCATGTCGTTCCAACCCACTGAGACTTTCATCTTCAGAACACTAACTAAGATATCAGGAGAGCTCAACCTTGTTCCTGGAGATCCACCTTCCTGAAGATTTCAGTTGCAACTCATGTCAAACACACCTGCCTGTAATTATCAAGTGCTGTTTAGGCTAATTAATTGCTTCAGGTGTGCTTAATCAGAGTTGGAGCTGAACTCTGTAGGAAGGTAGATCTCCAGGAACAGGGTTGAGCACCTCTGTCTTAGATCAAATCCAGGAGTTCTCTCATCCTTCTTAGACAGGAACAGTCCTGAGGTGTTCAAAGTCCAGAAAAAAGGTTAAATCATTGCATGTGACATTAACTGTAATCATACCAAGGTCCAAGAACATATTTGTGCACCTAAAAAAAAGCTACTGAAGATGAGCATAAGTCTTAGGGGATTGGAATGAGTGATTAAAAACAGGATTTTCATTTATGGGTGAACTAATCCTTTAAACTCTGTCCAAAATGTAATGTATTTAGACAAATAACACTGATTTATGTTTCAGGTCATGGAGTAAGACAGGACAAACAACTCAGCAACCCTAGCACACCTGAGGACTGCTGCATTGGATTGCTCTTTGTATTATATTGTTGCCTTGTCATCTTCTTTAATAGTGCAGGGCAACTTACATATGAGTGCCTTTGTTGATTAATTAATTTGTCATGAATGTTTTGAATGTATTGTCATTATATTATTATTATACACATATGCAAATGCACTATATATGTCATGTGTGTTTCTTATATACTGGTGAATTATTAAAGCATTATAAAATCAACATCATGTCTTGTTTTTATTTATTATGTGACCAGTTACTAATTATACACTGACTTCTTACTTTTGTCTTACAGGTTTCACCATTTTAAGACATTTTAAGACCATTTTGAATGAAATTTTAGACTCATAAAGCGCTAAAGACTAAGGATTTTTTCAAATTACCCAGATGAAAAAGAAATTTATTTGACCTATCAAAATTTTTTTATAATAATAATAATTTAATGATAATAATACATTAATAATAAACAATTAAATTATTTTAGATTTTTTTTCTTAACTAAATGTTTTAAATATTGTGTAAAAACAAGCAAGCTCTACTCGTATCCATACAGCTTTTTCCCCAACATAAACTTCTTTAAAATAATTCTAAAGTGAACAAATGTTTTAAAATATTTAAAAACTATAATAAAGTAAATCTATGGACAACAATCTGTCCAGGTCAGTGTCCTCAGCAGTACATGGAGAAACAAATGTCATTGTAAGGAAAATAATTAAACCATTATGATAAATAGAGTTAAACATTACCTTTTTAAATAAAAAAGTTAACAGTTTCATAGAGATGGATTGTTGGTGATTGTATGGGGGTTTGGACAGATTGGATAGCAATACATGAACAAAAGAAAATTAAAACCTGTTTAAAAAGATTTAAGACCAACAACACAGTATCACAGTAAATCTAGAGCTTTTTAAGGCCTAAGATTTGGATTTTGAGATTTAAGACTTTTTAAGACCCCACAGAAACCCTCTACATAACAGTATTACATAAATGATTTGTCTTTCGGTAATTTCCAAGGAAACATTTAAAATATATATATTTAGGCTATCTTGAGCCAAAACACTCCAGTCTCCAGATTTCTTACCATTATGCAACCAGACATATTTCGCATATCTGTTTAATCCAACACCAAACAAGTATATTGCTCTTTAAAAAACAAAACAAAACGGTTAAGATACAATATAAAATTAAGATTATTTTTTCCTGCATGAACAATAACTTTCTAAAAAAAATCTTTAACACTCCTAAGTAGATTATAACACTTATAATCTCCAGATAAAGAAAAAGCTATCGTGTGCGATATACCACATGACGAATGTTAGGAGGAGCTGATTTATAACGTAAAGCATAGATTATATATATATGAGTCTGTTTGATAGTACAGAAAGAGAAGAGCATTAACAGACATTGACCTAAATAAACATGCAGCAAGTCTAACAGACTACAGGTTATAACTACACTGTTTTTAACTTTTCTATTCAAACTTATATTATTCAAACTGACAAAAATATTAGGTTAAACTTTGAAAAATGGAAAAAAAATGTAGTTGGAACATGATTAACCTATTTAAATAAGTTAAAGTAACATAAAAAAGATGTAGTCATGATTTTTGTCAAATAAGCTTTTAAAGTGCTCTTTTTTCAGCATAAGTTTTTCAGGCAAACGTCATTTTACATTTACATTTAGTCATTTAGCAGACGCTTTTATCCAAAGCGACTTACAAATGAGGACAAGGAAGCAATTTACAAAACTATAAGAGCAACAATGAATAAGTGCTATAGGCAAGTTTCAGGTCTGTAAAGTCTAAGAAGGAAAGTATTAGTATTTTTATTTATTTTTTTTTGGGTACAGTTAGTGTGATATCCAGAGAGGCAATTGCAGATTAGGAAGTGAAGTGGAGACTAAATAGTTGAGTTTTTAGTCGTTTCTTAAAAATAGCGAGTGACTCTGCTGTTCTGATGCAGTTAGGGAGTTCATTCCACCAACTGGGCAGATTAAGCGTGAGCGTTCACGAAAGTGATTTCTTCCCTCTTTGGGATGGAATCACGAGGCGACGTTCATTCACAGAACGCAAGTTTCTGGAGGGCACATAGATATGCAGAAGTGAGAGCAGATAAGAAGGAGCAAGGCCAGAAGTCACTTTGTAGGCAAACATTAGAGCTTTGAATTTGATGCGAGCAGCAACTGGCAGCCAGTGCAAACGGACTAGCAGCAGAGTGACATGTGCTCGTTTAGGTTCATTGAAGACCACTCGTGCTGCTGCGTTCTGGAGCAGCTGAAGAGGCTTGATAGAGTTAGCTGGAAGCCCAGCTAGTAGAGAGTTGCAGTAATCCAGTTTGGAGAGAACAAGAGTTTGAACAAGGAGTTGAGCTGCATGTTCAGATAAGAAGGGTCGGATCTTTCTGATGTTATAGAGTGCGAATCTGCACGATCGAGGCCAAGTAGGTGGAAGAAAGTATTTAAAGGAGGCAACAGTTATCATTAATGTGGAAGATGTACAGGAAGTGAGAGCAGAAGATATTATTAAAGCGGTGATTGAAAAGTGTGGACATGGAAAAATTCTGGCTTTAAGACCAAGACAAGGGAAGGAGTACGAACTAACAATGGAAACAGAAGAATTATGTGAACAATTGACTGACAAACTGATGATAAATGGGGTGAACTGTGAAATTAAAAAGCTTCATAATAGGGATTTTGTTGTTTCCTTCATGCACCTGCCGGTCTATCTTGAAGATAAGGAAATTCTGGAAAAATTAGATACTTGGGGAGTTTGTCCCATATCTAAAATTAAACGAAGGTTTTATCCGGGTACCGACATAGAAGACGGAACAAGGTTCCTTAAAGTGAGGTTCCCTAAAGAGGTGGCATCCTTGCCATACAGCACAAAAATAGAGACAGCAGAAGGAACGCAGTACTTCAGGGTGATGCACAGCCATCAGGTGAAGACCTGTAGGCTGTGCATGAGCCCGGAACACATGCTGAAAGACTGTCCAGAATTCAAGTGCTACAAATGTGAGGAAAGGGGGCATTTTGCAAGAGACTGTATCACTGTCAGGTGCCCGGAATGTAAAAATTTTTTAAACAAGTGTGAATGCTGGATGGAAGGAGAGGAAGGAGGAGGAGAAGATCAGGACCGGCAGGTGCATGAAGAAAACAACAAAAGGGAAGAAGATAATGAAGCAATAGAAAGGACAATGGAGGAGGAAATGAATAACAATGAAAAAAAGGAAGGAGAAAACGAAAATGAAGAGAATGAAGTACAGTTATCAGGACAAGATGGACAGTGGTCACAAATGGAAATATCAGACAGTTTTAAAACTTTTTTAAGCACGGTGGAAAAAGAGGAACTAAGAAAGACTGGTCAAGCTGAAGGAATGGCAAATGATGAAGAAACAAGGATGGAAAATGTGGATAAGAACAAAGTGGAAAGAGGATTTTTAAGAAGAAGAACTTTTAAGGTAAAACCAAACTTGGACATGGCAAAGAAAAAAGTTTTAACAAAGAACAGAGCTAAATATGTAAATAGGTATGAAGTGTTAAGGGGACTGGAAGAAGATGAAGAAAAATGATGTTTTTAAAATATTTTATCTATTTTAAAATGCTTTTAATCTTTGTCTCTTTTAACGGAAGGAGTTGTTGGTTGAGAGCGTTGGAAGGAGATGAAGGACAATGAGGATGTGTAGGTTTTTAATTTCATTTTTATTTATTTTAATGGTTTTAAACTGTGTGTCTTTTAATGCAAGGGGACTGATGGGAAAAGATAAATTTGAGAAAATAAGAGAGAAATGTAAAAACAAGGAAGTGATAGGTTTACAGGAAACAAACTGGAAAGAACATGCAATGAATGATTTTAAAAAGTTGTGGCAAGGGGATATAATATATAATAATGGTGATGGTAAATCTGGAAGAGGTGTTGCTTTTTTAATAAGGAAAGATGTTTTAAACTTTAAAAGAATTGTGTATAGGGATAATTATGGAAAATGTTTAGTAATAGAGGTGAACTATGAAGGACATGAATTAATAATAGCAAATATACATGCACCAACAGAAGATAAAGACAAAAAAGAATATTTTGAGGTTTTAAATAAAGTATTAAAAGGTTTTAAAGAAATAATAATGATGGGAGATTTTAATACTGTTTTTAGAAAACAAGATATGGCTGATGGAATGGTTTTTAAATCGGATATAGGAAGAAAGCAACTAAATGAGTTAATAAAGGAAAATAGTTTAATAGATATATGGAGGGAAAGGAATAGAGAAAAAAGAGAGTTTTCAAGGAGACAAATAGTGGGGAATTTTATATGTCAAACGAGAATAGATTTTATTTTATGTACTAGAAATATTGAAAATTTTATAGAAAACATACAGTATGAAGAGAACAGTTTTAGTGATCATAAGCTCTTGCATTTTAAAGTGAATATAGAAAACATACAAAAAGGACCAGGGACTTGGATTTTAAACACAACCATTTTAAAAAATCAAGATTATGTTCAAAAAGTCAAAGAAATAATAGAGAATGAAAAAGAAAATAGAATGTATGATGAAGATAAAAGGATATGGTGGGAAAACACAAAATATCAAATCAGGAAATACACAATCAAATATTGCGCAGTACTACAAAGATGTAAAAAGTATACAGAAAAAGAAGTTAAAAGATCCTTAGAAAAAGAATTAAACAAGGAAAATAAAGATATTGAAAAAATCAAAGAAATAGAGCAAAAATTACGAGATTTAGAAGAAGACAAATATAAGGGGGCAATGTTGAGGAGCAGATCTAAATACACAGTAGAAGGGGAAAAATGCACGAAATTCTTTTTTGATTTAGAGAAGCAAAGAGGTAAAGCAGGAATACTAAAGGAAATTAAAGGGAGGAATGGAAAAATTGCGAAAGGAAACATAGAAATACTAGAAGAAATCAAGCATTTTTATGAAGATCTATTTAAAGCAAAAGGTATTGATGAAGAAAAAGAA